GAGACAGGGCGTCGGCCAAGACATTGGACACGCCCCGTACGTGAACCGCCAGGAGAGCCAAACCCCGAGAACTCAGCAGACGAGTCACCCGAAGCGACCAACCCCAAAGAGACAAGGACCGCATCGAACCCCCGCGGTTCAGGCAATGAACCACCGGAGAGCAGTCCGAATGGAGCCGAATCGTCGATCCGTGGGCCACCCGAATCCTCCCCAGAGCAAACCACACTGCCGCGAACTCCCGCACCGTACTGTGAGCTCGACGGAAGGACGGATCCCAACACACCTGGCCGGCCTGGTGAGCACTGGTCACAAAACCCCAGCCGAGAGACGACGCATCCGTGTACACATCGAGCGAGGGCTCGGGTAGGCGCCAAAGCACTGAACCCCGAAAAACCCGAAGAGGAAGCCGGTGACGCAGCAACCGACGCAAGGCCCCCGGGGGTCGAACTCTGCGATCGCGAGAGAGGCGGAAGGGGGAACCCCGAAGGAACCAGAACAGCTGTCGAAGCCAAACCCGACCCGGCGGGTAGACCACCATCGCGAAGTTCAGGCTCCCGCACAGCCCCTCGAGCAACCGCCGGGTGACCCGAGGGCCCTCCAGAAACAGACGAAGGCGGGACCGCAGCCGCAGGAGAGACTCCGGAGGGAGAGACAAGGAGGCGGTTCGAGAGTCCCAAACGAGACCCAGCCAAGTCCGAACCTGAGAGGGAACCAGATGGGACTTCCTCCAGTTCACCAAGAACCCGAACCCGGCGAGCTGAGAAAGAACCAAATCCCTGGCTAGCAAGCAAGCTGACTGGCTGGGAGCCCAAACCAGCCAGTCGTCGAGGTAGGCCAACACCCGAAAACCTAGGAGACGCAAACGAGCCACCACAACCCGAGCCACCACAACCCGTGTAAGGCGCGTGAACACGCGAGGTGCCAGGTTCAACCCGAACGGGAGACAACGAAAGCGGTAACTAAGACGCCCCACAACAAAACCGAGCCAGTCCCTGAACCGCGGATGAATCGGGACATGCCAATAAGCGTCCCGGAGGTCCAGGGACACCATCCAAGCTCCCGGCTCCAAGAGGAGCCGAACCTGAGACAGCGTAGTGATCCGAAAGGAGGGGCAATGAACCCAGGGGTTCAGACGGGACAAGTCCAGAATGAACCGCAGGCCCGCGCAGACCCGTTTCGGAACCAGAAACAGACGGGAAACCCATCTGAGGGACGTCGTCGTTTCGACGACGCCCAAGCGTACCCACTCCAAGACGACTCGACAGAGTGCAGGGAAAGAAACCTGCCTCGCCAGCCCCGATCCCCCAACGCCACCACAGGCCGCGAGACACGACCCGAAAGGCCCACGAATCGTGGGACCAGGCACGGGCGAACAGTGCAAGCCGCCCCCCCATCGCCCCGTCAAGGGGGCAAACTGCGAAAGGGCCGGCGACCCTTACAAGACCCAGAACGCCGCACAGCGCGAACACCGCGCCGACCAGACAAGGGAGGGTCCGCAGGAGGAGCCAACCCCGAACCTGACACCAGAGGCCTACCACGACGAGAGGAACCCAGAGCCCTGGCACGACCTTTCCGGAAAGACCCACCCCGGGACCCCCGGAAAACCAACAAGTCCAACATCGGACGACAAGCCGCCGACGCAGCCTGAATAAACTGTGCCACGGCCGACTCCGCAAACAGGAGAGGACAAAAAGGTGAAGAACGCTTAAGAGCCAGAGCCCAAGCAGATTCCACGGAGGAACCCAGCACCGCCTGCTGACACGCGAGACGGGAAGCATAAAACAGGGAAACTGCATCCCGCAAAATCGGCGTGAACAGCTTCAACAAGGCAGCCGACAAACGCGCAGCCGAGGACAAGGTGCCGGACCCCAGGACGGACCCAAGCGTCCCCACATCCTCCATGAGCCAATCCGAAGACAGCTCCAGGAGGGAAAAGAACCGCAAGGCCGAACTCAAAAGGCCCGGGCGCGCAAGTCCTCCGCAACGAGCGCCGCCGAAAGGGAGGGAACCTGCACATGGAGCTGAATAACGCCAAACTTTCCGGGGAAGAGCAGGGGCAAACACGCACTCATTCAGGTACTCAAGTTCGCCCCCAAGGAAAACCTAAAGCACCGTGGAAGCTTCCCGCCACTCCAGCGTGCGGGAACGACAGAAGGAATGCCAAGAATCCAGACCAAACAAGGGGCAGTCTGCTAGCCAGGACGACTCCGGAACCTCGTAACGGAGCCAGAAAGGGAACGAAGTCCCAAACTTGAACGTGGACGGATCCATTTCCGAGGCATAATCCGGGTCACGCAGGAGGTAAGCTGCAAAGGCTGCTCGCACCACACCAGGTTGGATGCGATAAGCCGAAAACCTCCGGAAGGACGGAACCGACGTACCCGGGGGAACACGGAACCGAACCCGGGGAGGGGCCGACACCAAATCCAACTCGTACGCAGAGGGGGGAAAAGAAAACCCCACTCCTTGTAACAATAAGCCCCGCTCAGTGGGAAGAAAAACCCAGGCGGGGTCCAGCGGGGCCCAAGGCCCCCAAGTCAGCCCCTCCCCAGCCTCGAGGTCCTTCACCACAGGACCCGAGGCCGAGTCCTCTCCCCAAGCCCCGACCCCACAAGACAAGGACGGAGCAGCCGGAAAAGCTGGAGGAAGGGGGGCCCACTGGTCAGACCCTGAAGCTTCCGCCGGGAGACAAGACTCGAATGCCTCACCCGCCCCCCCCCCCCGGAAGGGGCACCCCCCGAAGCTGCCCGAGTCTCGAGATCAAGTAACCCCTGCTACGACCCCGAAACCCTCAGACGCTTCGGGGCCGGAAGCAGGGGCGGGGGACCAGAACGAACAGAAGGGGAAAGACGAGGAGGTGCGGACTGAACTAGGATCGAAGCGACCCCCCACCCCCAAGTCCAGGTCTCGAAAAGCAAAGCGGGGCAGCCCCGGGGCATCCGGGGAAGCAACCAACCGAGCGCGTTGCAACAGACGAAACCTAGACTGCAACGCACGCGCCGCCTGTACCCGAATAGAATCAGAGGATTGGGTAAATTGAGTCACAAGCAAGCAGCAACACTCACAGGACTCAGGGTCGAAAGTATCACCGACCCAACAGGCAGCGTGGCAGAGGCAAAAACAATGAGGGTCACCCTGAGACAAGGGGACCGAGCAACCCTCAAACTCGCACACAGCGAGTGGGGACTCCGGGGTCACATCCATCGGACCCACGCGCCCCCTAGGGGATTCCCAGGGTCCTGAGCGTTTACTTTAAGAGGACTCGCGCTCAGGTAGTCCCAGGCAGGGTGCTGCAAACCGGCACCCAAAACTACCAAGCAAACTTCTAAAGCTGAACCCCAGGGACGTGTACACTCACAGGGACCTAGCAGGGGGCGCCACCTAGGAGAACAGTGGAAGGGCAAAAACAAACTGAATAAAATGACAGAACCCCCCACCAGGCAAAAACAAAAAGAAAAACAAAACCCCGCAAGAGGACAGCGAACCCCAAGGAACAGAGCCGGCGGCGATGTCGGGAAATACAAGCTGAGCAGCACCCTGCGCCCCTACCAGTGCAAACTGCCTCTTACCTGCCGGTAACAAGGGAAAACAGAGCACCAAAGAGCCCAACAGGTGGCCGAAAAACCGAAAGGTAAAACGGACCAGCAGAGGCAGACCCCGAGGAGCCTGTGGAAGGTGGCCCCAAGCCCCAAGGGCAGTACTTACAGGGCACCTAGGGAAGGCAGCCCCAGGCGCATGCAGCCCGAGTACTGAAGATAACTCCTGGCTCTCGCACCCACAAAACCAACACCACACGCAAAGCACAGTGCAGTAGCGACACCGGAGCCAGAGCACACGACCATCGCCTATAGCATCAGCCTCAAGAACTGAGGTGTGGGTAGCCGGCGCAGGGGGTCTGGGGCTCCCCATTCCCCCTCCTGGGGAGGGGGAAGCTGCGCAGACAGCGACGCGGCGGTGTGTGACGTCACACTAGTTTGCTTGTTTTCGGTTGGGGAGTTCTATCCACTAGTTCGGTGTTTGGTAGCAATTTTAACCAGAATAGGGGTTTGTTTTGAGGCACTTACCTTTCTGGGTGCCTGTTCCGGTCGATGGCACACATAGAATGCTTCCAACCACACGGGGGATTCTATAGGCCATTGCTCCCCTTGCCTCTCTGAGGGGGCCCGGTTCTGGCCGTGGTCCCCGGTAGGCCTAAGAACTCCATACACATGACTGATGCCAAAGTCTGACATTAGCATATCAGCCTGGGATAGCTCCGGGGAGCCGACGGGGCTCCCCCCAGAAAATTATCGAAATTACTAAAAAACAAAAAAGTTATTTAAGAAATTTTATCTCTTAATGGTGTGGCACTGTGGTAGGTCAAGAGCACAAGGCTTGTTTAAGTTGACCAGCCTGGACAGGTACACTTGAGGCAGGCAAGCACGTTACATAGGCTGCCAGGCAGAACAAAAAATCCCAAAATTTTAGCATGAAATTAGTCTTCAGCCTGTACACAGTTTTTCAGAAATTTGTATGCATTATAATATTAGATAATATTTCCTTAGCCGTTATTGTAATGAAGTGTTTTAAATTAATATAATTTTTGGTTATTCTGTATAACAATTATAGGCCCCTCCCCATGCCCTTCATCCTCCACTCTGTCCCTCCCAACTGTTCGTACCCAACACCACTCACCCCAACACCTCCCATACCCAGTGTCCCGAGGCACTGCTGTACCAGATTAATTCGGTATGGCCTGGTGCTGTTCAGGGTTATCTGGCCAAATCTATGGTCATCTGGATTTCTGTCCGGATATGAAAACGTTTGGTCAGAAAAATATCTAAATGCGATTTTTGCTGGATAACCCAAATATCCAGTTCGGTGGGCTTCGGATAACCGAGCTCATATAGTTTATACAGTACATGTATATAAAGCTATGTACCAACCATTAAGACAAAAGACAATCTGAATATAATATTCCTTAAAAACATCTGATGTTAAGGGTAAGAGAGACTATTCTGTATAATACAAAATTTAATTGAATTCTGAAGCCACCTCAAGCAAATGATCGATAACAATTTGACATTTTCTAATGCATTACAAATGTATTATAACAGTGGTAGTATTTTTGTGTTTGCTTGGGGAATGCTGTTTTACTAGATAACATCTTTATAATATCAACGTCGAATAACTTCAGGAGGAATGTATCCCTCATCTTCATCCTTGGATTGTTTTCCTTTATGTGGCATCTTTTTCTGGTGGTACCTGTTATGAAATTTACATTAATAATAATATATTTTATCTTTAAAAAATTCTTACAGTAGTACAAAGTCCCATTCCATTAAAATTTTATCCAACAGAATAAGGTTTGGTTATGGTTGCTCGTGCCTAGTTCCAATGGGTTAGGGTTACCCACTTACTCTGACTGGTATCGAAAATAAATAAATAAAAAAAAAAAACAGTGTTGAATGTAATGAAACGCCATTTTCTGGGCGAGTCCCAGAGGCTCCCCTGAGCAATCCAGGCTGAATGAATATGTATAACTTTCTCGCATCAGTCAATGCACGGAGTTCTTGCCTACTGCGGACCACGAGCCAGAACCTGGCCCCCTCTAGAGAGGCACGAGGAGCAATGGCCTATAGAGACCCCCCGTATTGTTGGGAGCATTCTATGTCTGCCATCGACCGGGATAGCCACCCAGAAAGGTAGGCACCCCAAAACAAACCCCTATACTGGTAAAACTATTGCGACCGAAGACCGAACAAGTGAACAGAACTCCCCAAACGAAAATTAGCAAATGAGCATGATGTCAACGCGTCACCGCGCCGCTGTCTGCACAATCCCCCCCTCCCCGGGAGGGGGAAGGGGCAGCCCCAGACCCCACCCTCAGTTCTTAGGCTGGATGTCAAAAACGCGAAAAACACCGCCGACTGGAGGATGCCAGAGAGTCTCCGGGACTCACCCCAGAAAATGGTGTTTCATTACATTCAACGCTGGTTTTCTTGGGGGAGCCCCGTCGGCTCCCCAAGCTTACTACCCAAAGATAAGGAAAAACAGGGACTTACCCGGGAGGTGGTCCGTTCTCACTCCTAAACACAAAGTCGAGACAATTGGCTGCAACCGCCGACCCAATGCAACGCAGGCCTGACGCAGCCCAGGAACATTCAACAGGTAGCGAGCGGCCAGGACCCTGTTCGACTGCCAAAATCCCCGGGCCCGAATGTCCACCCAAGACATGTTGTCAAATACGGCAGTCAAGGCAGCAAACTGACGAATGTCATGGGCCTGGGGATACCCCACAGGCTGGCTAGACTTAATAATCCTGCGGACGACCTGAGAAACCCGAGCCCGGAACAGGGAAGAAGGGAAACCGGGTCAACCCAGAGCGCATCCCGGCAACCGAAGCCATGGCGAGCAAATAACGGCGGAGAGTCGCAACCGGACACAACACATGATGCACCCCCGGCCTGACCAACCAAGCATCAACAACCAAAGGCCCCCTCCAGAAGGCAGCCGTCTCATTCTTCGCCAGAAAAGATGGAGACGGCTGCAAGCAAACAAAACGACCACCAGGACCGAAGGCGCAGAAACCCCTGCGCCAGAGGAGAGCATGAAGCTTTCCAACCCAACCCAAAGAGGCCAAAGCCAAAAGGAAAAGCGCCTTAGAAAAACAATCCCGGATGGAAGGGGCCACCACAAAACGAGGAGAAACGAGAGCACGCGGTCCAAGGACCATGACAGCTCAGGCAGCGTATGAGCAGGCCGGAGGTGAAACAACGCATGAGACAGCTTGTGAAACGGGGCAGAAGTAACATCAACACTGAAAGCAAGGTAAAGCGGCTCCGCCAACGCCGCACAATACGAGGCAACAGTATTAGGCATAAGATGACGGTCCTGAAACAACCAAGAGAGAAAGGACAGAACAACCCTATCAGAGACCAAAGAATACCTACCCAGTGATAGGAAAAACCGGGAGGACCGCCAGGAAACAACATACTGCCACCGGGATGAAGCACACAGGTGGGAAACTAACAACGAAGCCACCTGCGCACCATACAAGTGATGATAAAACCGAGTCAAAAACACCAGACGTAAAGACTCGAGGAGAAGACCAAACCAGCCTCGTACCGGGCTGGACCAATCTGCTGAAAGAGGAGGAGCCGTAGGAAAACCCTTGGGTTCGGAACCTGAGCAAGCAGTGCTGGAAATCAAGGCTGGGCCGGCCACCAAGGAGCCAGAAGGGCAACCCATCCCTTTTAAGTCTCCAAGCGTCAGGACCTGGAGCAGGAGCTGAACCGGGGAAAAGAGGTACAGGTAACCCCATCTCGCCCAGTCCAACCGAAAGGCATCGATCCCGATAGCCTCGCAGTCGGGGAAGGGTGCCACATACACCAGAAGACGCCTCGACCACACCGACGCGAAGAGATCCACGTCCAGAGTCCCGAACGTCTGGCACAGCCAACTGAAAGAGTCGGTGTTGACCGTCCACTCTGTGGATAGGGGAAGGAAATGAGACAGGCCGTCCGCCAGGACGTTGGACATCCCTTGAACGTGAATCGCCAGGAGAGCCAAACCTCAAGAACTCAGCAGACGAGTCATTCGAAGCGACCAGCCCCAAAGAGCCAAGGACCACATTGAACCCCCGCGGTGCAGGCAATGAACCACTGGGGAGCAGTCCAAATGGAGCCTGATTGTCAACCCGCAAGAGACCCGAACCCTCCGGAGCCACATCCACACAGGTGCGAACTCCCGGACTGTACTGTGAACCTGACGGAAGGACGGACCCCACCACCCCTGGCCGGCCTGGTGAGCACTGGTCACAAAGCCCCAGCCAAGAGATGACGCGTCCGTGAACACATCGAGCGAGGGCTCGAGTAGGCGCCAAGGCACTGAACCCTGAAAAACCCGAAGAGGAAGCCGGCGATGCAGCAACCAACACACAGCCCCCAGAGGCCGAACCCAACAGTCGCAAGAGAGGCAGAAGGGACGACCCCGAAGGAACCAGAACAGCCGAAGCCACACCCGACCCGGCGGGTAGACCATCATGGCAAAGTTCAGGCTTCCGCACAAACTCTCGAGCAACCGCCACGTGACTCAGGAACCCCTCAGAGACAGACGAAGGCAGGACCGCAGGCGAAGCAGAGCCACCGAAGGCAGAGACGAGGAGGCGGCATGAGCGTCCCAAGCCAGACCCAGCCAGGACCGAACCTGAGGGGAAACCAGATGGGACTTCCTTCAGTTCACCAAGAACCCGAACCCAGCGAGCTGGGAAAGAACCAAATCCCTGGCAAGCAGACACGAGGACCGGCTGGGAGCCCAAACCAGCCAGTCGTCGAGGTAGGCCAGAACCCAAACACCTAACAAACGCAGGCGGGCCACCACGACCCGAGGAAGCCGTGTAAAAACGCGAGCACCAGATTCAACCCGAAGGGAAGACAACGAAAGCGGTAACTTTGATGCCCCACAACAAAACCGAGCCAGTCCCTGAACCCCAGATGAACCGGGACATGCCAATACGCGTCCTTGAGGTCCAGGGACACCATCCAAGCACCCGGCTCCAACTGAAGACGGACCTGGGACAGTAGTCATCCTGAAGGAGGGGCAAGAAACCCACGGGTTCAGACGGGACAAGTTCAGAATGAAGCGGAGGTAGCGCAGTCCCGTTTCGAGACCGGAAACAGGCGGGAAATCCACCTGAGGGATGCCGTTGTTTTGACCACGCCCAAGCGAACCACTCCGAGATGACCCGACAGCGCAGGAGAAGAGGCCTGGTCTGCCAGCCTCGAACCCCCCGAGGAAGGAGGAGCCACCCAAGGCCACAGGCTGCACGAAACGACCCAAAAAGCCCACGAATCCTGGGACCAGGCGCGAGCAAACAGGGCGAGCTGCCCCCCCCACCGCCCCGTCAATGGGACGACCCACGAAAGGGCCAACGTGCCTTGCAAGAACCCAAGCGGCGAACAGGTCGATCCCCACACCGACCAGCAATAGCCGGAACCGAAGGCTGCGCCAGCCCTGAATCTGGCACCAAAGGCCTACCCCGACAAAAAGAACCCCGAGCCCTAGCACGACCGTTCCGGGAAGGCCCCCGGCGAACCCCCGAGACTAACAACAACTCAGACATAGGCTGACAACTATCCGAGGCCACCTGCATATACTGCACCACAGCAGACTCAGCTAACAGCAACGGACAAAAGGGCGAAGACAAATGAAGAGCCAGGGCCCAAGCGGATTCTAAGGAAGAAGCCAGCATCGCCTGACAACATGTGACGCGAGAAGTATAGAACCGCGAAACCGCATCACGCAGGATGGGCACGAAGAGCTTCAATAGGGCAGATGACGTCCGCACTGCAGAGGGTAGCGCACCAGACCCGGCAGCAGCCCCAAGAGCCCCTACATCCAACTCAAGCCAATCCGAGTACAGCTCAAGGAGGGAAAAGAAACACAGGGCCGAAGAAAGGAGGCCACAAGTACTCAAATCCTCTGCAACCAAGGCAGCCGAAAGGGAAGGAACCAGCATATGAAGCTGCAAGACACCAACATCCCGCAGAATGCCAGGGGCGAGGGGCAAACAAACAGGCATCAAAATGCTCGAAGTCGCCCCCCAGGAAAACCTAGAAAAGCCGCGGAAGTCTCTCGCCACTCAAGCGCATGGGATCGACAGAACGTGTGCCAAGCCTCCAACGAAAAGAGAGGACAGTCTGCCAACCAGAATGACTTCGGAACCTCATAACGAACCCAGTACGAACCAAAGGAACCGTACACGAAGGAACGGGGATTCATTGCAAAGGCATAATCCGGGTCATGCAGGAGGTTAGCCGCCAAGGCTTCCCGTACCTCCTTAGACGAAACACGGGAAGCCGGAAACCTCCAGAAAGACGGAACCGAAGAACCCGCGAGATCACGGAACCGAACCCAGGGAAGGGGTGGACACCAAATCCAATCTGTACTCAGATGGAGTGAAAGAGAACTCCTTTCCTTGTAACACCAAGCCCCGCTCAGAGGGTAGAAAAACCCAGGCGGGGGTCCAATGGGGCCCAACCAGGGCAACACCTCCCCAACCCCGGGAACCTCGCCCAGAGGACCCGGGGGCCGAGCCGTCCTCCTGACCTCCCACCTCCAAAGAAAAGGCGAGTGCAGCCTTTTCCGGCTGTTGAAGGGGGTCCACTGGCCAGACCCAGAAGTTCCGGCAGAAGGAACAGGCTCGAATGCCTCCGCTGCAGCCCCAGAAGGGGACACTCCCGACACTGCCCGAGTCTCACAAC